AGACAGATAAACATTCCACTATTTGTGAACTGTTGAATTAAGGGTGATTTTTACCAATGAAACCTGTCATGAGAACTGTAGTTTTTATGGCCTTAAGCCAGTATGAGAGTATACATTTGCTGTACATTGATTATTTTGAGCATGATAACCCTGGTGTTATTAGAATAGATCTGATACAAATCATCTGATGTCAGCAATTTTTCAGTCAGATATCAGTTAACTAGTTTGGTTAAATGCTGCTATGGACTCTTTTCTTTACTTTATCATACTTTACAGCAGTGCATGCATACATAATTCAACACACCATCAGTGATTTTGCTTTTGAATTTTGGGTAATTTGCTCTGTACCAGTCCACTATTGTGATTTTATTTTTTAAAAATCAATATTGTAAACTTTTTTGGACTAAAGCACTAACTACTCTTGATGCACAGAGTTAAAAGGCTGTTATGGCATTGTACAGATGTCAAAAGAAAGTTGAAAATAAACCATGTCAAGATTAATTATGATATTTAATGTTATGATTGTTCCTATAGTGTGTAATGGTGCAGAAGTATAGGGGACCTCATATTGTAAAAATATTGAAGACGTACAGCATAAAATGTGTAAACGGTTTTTCAAAACAGCAAACAATGCTATGGTTTGGGGAGAATGTGGCAGAACCCCTCTCCAACTTGTGCACACCACAAGCCCTATAAGGTATTGGTGCAGGCTACTGTATTTGGATGAACGCAAACTGCCTCGCAAATGCCGTACCACATGGCCTCCTGATACTAAAAATATTCTGTTTAGACTCATTCATATTTAGAATATTCTGATTTGAATATGTGCGGTTAGCACAAGATGTGAAGATCACTTGACAACCTACAACAATCAGGGTGTAGTTCTATCAACAGTTTATCAGTTTATTTTAAATCACTGTTAAATGTGGAAATGAATTTTACACTCCCTATCCCTGTAACCTAAGACTACCCATGACCTTTTCAGATGTAGTAGGTTTAAACTTCCAGTCGGTTTTGGAAGATACACAAATGTCCCATACACTGAATGACTGTAAATATTGTATATTAAGGGGAAGATCTTTTGTTGAAGATGAGTTTCATATGCATGTATTGCTTGTATGTGAGCATTATTCAGCCATAGGGGCGGTGGGGTAGCCCAGTGGTTAAAGCGTTCGCTCGTCACACCGAAGACCCGGGTTCGATTCCCCATATGGGTACAATGTGTGAAGCCCATTTCTGGTGTCCCCCGCCATGATATTGGTGGAATATTGCTAAAAGCGGCGTAAAACCATACATACTCACTCACTACTCAGCCATAAGAATTATGTATGTGTCTTAAACAATAATATATATAAAGTCTGTAACACACTGTAACATTTTTTATCGGATCGATGATCATGCTGTTGATCTCTGGATTGCCTGGTCCAGACTGGAATAGAACCGAGTGCAGCCTTAAACAACAAACCAACCAACATCTTTTATCGAAATTCTTTCATCTGAAATCTTCGACAGACAGACAAGACAACTTTGATGTTGTGTATAACTCATGTCTATATTTCTATTAAACAGCTAAGGGAATTGTAATAGAATTGCTTCATTGGCATGCGTGCTTCATGCAATCAAAGATAGTCTGTATTAAACTGTCTGTTTATTGGGATTTTAATACCAACAGGTTTCAAAACTGAATGTACCCCATTCCCCACCCCTCTCCAACCCCAGATATCGCTACAGTGTTTTTTTTGTAATATGAAATGGACATATTATGAAATATATGTAGCTGTTTTTCACTAAACATGTCTTTAACAAACATGAGCCCCATCTGGAAGTGTTGTGTATCAGTGTGTTTTAGACAATGCGCACTTTCCTTTTTATGAGTGGGCTCTTTCAAAACAAGCTAAAACACACACAGTTTTGAATATTTCATAAAGTGTCCGTTTTCCTATTATATACAAAACTGTACCTATATATGGGGTGGGGAATGGGGTACATTCAATGTTATATATAATGGTCCGATGTGTAATCGATTTCCCAGTAGAATCACGCAGATGTTGCCATACTATGACTATTGTTAAACTTTTTAAGATCAATGCCTATTGCATCACCGTGATCAGCCCAATGTTATATTGAAATGATTTATGCCAAATGAATACAAATAATAAATAGGCCATATTCTTCTATCATTATTTCATTTTTGAAAGCACATACATTGTTAAAAAAAACCCATTGTTGAATGAATCATTTATGTGTTTCAAATGTATTAGAAATAATTATTATTAATTATATAATGTGGTAACAACCATTTTCTGGTTACTATTACTGGGCGTTCAGTTTATTTCCAACACACAAAACAGGAGAAATGGGGGCCAAATCATCGAATTACACGTGATCACATTTGCTAAAATAAAGATGCTAACTATATTCAATCAATGTGGTCGTTCAGATTCATGTTTTATATGTACGATTTCGTGGCAATAGCGAGCTGACACGAAATATCAAAGCACATGTCGGTGATGAAAATAGGGTGTGTGTCATTGTTTACATATCGCCAATGTAACGACGATTTTCGTGTCTCGAAACTGCTTAAATAACGTGTTTGTACACTGAAAGTAACGATGGCCGTTGTTCTGGTGACGTATATTTTCCCATAGTATCGATGAAAATGCTATGAAAAAATTCTAACCACCCGTTCTCGGATTTTCCTATAGTAAATGTATGGCGCGTCTCCCTGCAGCGAAGGCCGCCATTCGGCAGTGGTTGCCTGGGTCAGTGGCGGAGCGTAGCGCAGGCGCAACGGACCCAGGGAACCAGGCTGATTCCATGTTGCAGGGCGTGTTCAATTGCTGACCACACTTTCCTCAACGTTCCGAGACTTAACGCAGCAGACCCCGGGAACCAGACTAAACTCAACGCAGTCTCGTATGCTCCACAGTAGTCTGTCTCACAGTCCCTAAACCACATTATTTTCCCCACTGCCAAGGTCTCTCGGCAGTGCTAAAGCCCTAAATAAAGTACCCGGTAAGTTAGATTTCCTCTGAATCTCTGGTCTCCCTGGGGCTCTTTTTCAATTTAAATGGGCTTGTTTGTTACTATCAAAATTATATATATTCAGAGACTAAGCATTAGTCTAGCTCCACACAGGAAGGGCATAATACACTGTATGTATCCTATACGCTGTTGTCGCCTGTCGTCAACACCCTGGCCGAGGGGAAGAGGGTAGGGAGGTGAAACAGCTCAATATAAATGCCATTTCCCAGCAAATTGATATGGACGCGGACATTATAGTTGTTCTGGATACATTTGTGTCATTTAATAAACTTTCACTCAGGACAAAAGGGAGGTGCGCACTCCTGTACCCACCCTACCCCCCTCTGGATCCGCCTATAGTGTGTGTGTGTGTGTGTGTGTGCATGCGTGCAGTCATCCATCATGTGTTTAGGAACTTGCCTATGAAACTCGATCTTGAACTGAACTTTCGTTGTTCTGTTTTCCCAGTAAACATTTCTTGATTGAAATACGCTTTGACAATGTAAGTGAGGCAGCTCGCATGGGGACAGTACGTGTTTCCTCAAGTTAGTAGTGTGAACAAAATGTTTATTTTGTAACGGGAAGTTCAGCAACGTAAGTTAACATGTCATGTGATCATAGTTTTTTCACGTGCTTTTGTGCCCACAACCACTTTTTTCAAAATCCAGGTTCTGACTCCGTTCTTTGTGTGCATATCAACGCAGGGGAAGTTACGTAATATCACTTCTCAGTTCGAAAGGCTTTTATCTTTATATTTGAATGAGATGGGTGCTCCTAAGGGTCATAGGTTTTTCAGAGCATTTTCATAAAATCACTTCCATTCCCACAAACACACACATAAATATTTGTTTGCTTGTTTCTTGGGTGTTTACCAAGTGATGTAATGCGAGTCTGTATAAATACTTAGAACTAGGCAATATCGATAAACGCAATTTGAATATGATATGCATCACCGAAATCTGTGCGCCTGGGGGTGATGGGTGGCCTTGTGGTTAAAGTGTTCGCTTGTCATGCCGAAGACCCGAGTTCGATTCCCCAAATGGGCACAATGTGTAAAGCAGATTTCCGGTGTCCTCAGCCGTGATATTGCTGGAATATTGCTAAAAGCGGCGTAAAACTAAACTCACTCTCTAACTCTGCACACCTGACCATCTTCGTCTCCTCTTATCATACACCTGTACTAGCGTCCGCGCTTACACATTACCTGGAAACAGTGTCAGCCTGTCGTAGGTAATGTCGTAGGTGACTGATTACCCCTGGGCAGTCATTAAACATGAAGTCAACAATTATGTAAGACGGTGAGTTTAGTTTTACGCCGCTTTTAGCAACATTCAAGCAACATCACGGCGGGGGACACGAAATGGGTTCCACACAGTGTACCCATGTGATGAATTGGGTCTTCGGCGTGACGAGCGTACGCTTCACCATTAGGCTACCCCAATGACGTTAGATGACGTTGAATCCTATATATTTACATAACGTCCACCATAGTGGAAACCCAGCTAACACAAAACGTTTCTAAAACGTTTTCTAGTGGTTTCTCATGGAAATGTTTCATGAAAACGTTTTGATAATGTTTTTCAAACGATTTTTTAAACGTTATTTTGAAACGTTATGAAAACGTTTCGAGTAACGTTATTAAAATATTATCAAGAAACAAAATCCAAACTTCTACACACCAAAGTATTAGAAACGCTATTGAAACATTGGCGAAGGTTTCCCAAAAGTTTGATTGAAACCAAATCACAATGTTATAAGATCGTAAGTGAAACATTTTTAGGTTAAATTTTCTTGATAAGAATGTCTCCGCCAACTACAGGAATGTACATTAACTTGAAAATAATAGTCATGAAATTACAACCTGTACAACAATATTTGTGAGAAAACTTAAATAGTGTTGTGAACATTTTGTCAAGTGGAATAGTATGTCATGTGTTTCTTTACTATCATTTATTTTGGTACTGCACTAATTACAACAGATCCAACATTGTATTGTAAATATAATACCCGTTTACTGCTGTGCGTTTAAGTTCAGCCATTTCTGCGTGGACAACTTGCTATCTTTTGTATGGTGTCAGCTTACAGGAATGTTTCCAGATACTTTGTCAGGTCAGAGCAGGAACCCGTGCATTCAAAATCGGACGCTGTACATATCAGGCGGGAAATTCCATCACATTGCTGGATGTAGAAGACGGTACATTTTACTTTGGTGACAAGACGACAGATTTCTAAAAGGAGGTATGTACATTATCAATGTTCACAAGATCAAAATCAATAGAACAAGCAACATGAGATAGCCTGTTTATATACGTTTGCAGAGCGGTAAATTAATAAATGCACATTCATATCCAAACTATGTCACAGTGTATCTGTGTTTGTGATATCAATTAAATTACAAAGAAACGTCGACTATTAACCTAACTATAATATTACCATTTATTAAATGACCAAAGTGTAGATATGTGTTCAAATATAGGAATTTTCTCTGTTTCTTCTGTCCCGTATCCAATCTTCCGACACAGATTTGGTCACGAAGACACTCTTGCTTATCAGCGACGTACAGGAAATCGGGGGATGATATAACATTCGAGTCGGTGACTCCAGCTCGTTATTTTATAGCAAACAATACGTCACTTCCCTAACAACCAGACTGTGATTCCTCACAACAAATGTCACCCCCTCATAAGTAAATGTTGTATGCGACTTTTTAAACAAGAGATGAAGATGAGTCATGAAGAAATACTTTTAAATAAAAGTTCTTCCTGCCATTAAAAGGCAACTTATCATTAATAACTTGGGCCAAATGTAAGAAATACACAATATTCAGTTCCGTAAAACTATTGTGAGTAACAACTTCCTTATGTAAATGATGCCCTTATTTTTGGAAAGTATCATACAATATAATCAGATGAAATACTTGCACAAATTGACAAATTGTTTTTATTTGGTTGGTAATACATTCCTTTTGCATATGACTGATCTACTAAGGCTGATTGAGCTGTATTTATTGTGTAAGTTTGCGATAAACACAGATGGGAATTTGTACTCTTCAACATAGTTTCACGACACAGAAACATGTAGCAGTAATTTAGCATCGTCAAGAGTGAAGTTATAGTAAATATTCATAGAATTTCTTTGTGTTTATTTCAGAAGCCAACACAGACGCAAGAAAAGCCCGATGGCAAAGATGACTGATTATTTTCCATATGTATTGATGAAATAAAGTATTCTTTAAAACATATCATTGTTTTGTTTTCATTTTCACTAATAATAACGGATGACATGATTAACATTACCAATGTATTTATTGGACGGGATTCAACACGTAGTGTTGGTAAACTAGCCTTGCAACGATATCAGAACATGATATCCTTACTGCTATCTCTACAATGGCAAGAAGGTTCAACCCAAACGTTTCTGAAACGTTTTGGAAACCATACGGAAACGTTGTCTAAACGTTTTCAAAACGTTTCTGTGTTACCTGGAAGGAGCGTCTACTTTATAACGTCTCTCGTATTTATGTGGAGAAGAACAGGTGTATTGACGTTCCCCCGATAAGCATGAATGTAGTGAAGTAGACGGCACAGAATGGTGTCTTAAATTCGTTGATTTGGCTTTCATATTTTATTCAGTCATCTAAGAAGAAGATTAGAATTGGAGAGAGGTTTTTCAGGTAACTATTAACTATATATTATTGTTTTAAAAAACACACCTACTGTGTAGTAGGAGCGAGTGAGTTTAGTTTTACGCCACTTTTAGCAATATCACATATTGTACCCACGTGAGGAAGCGAACCCGGGTTTACGGCGTGACGAGCGAAAGCTTTAACCAGTATGCCACCCACCCAAGAGTTGTGGTAGTAGTAGCAGTAGTAGTACTTGTTTTTATTTGTTATTACAGTGACATTTCACTGTTTTTTGTGTATTGTGTCTATCCGTCTGAATATTTTCAGTTGTTTTTTTTCGTAGACGCTCTTCGTCAACGATGTCGTTCATCGGGCGAGGTGGATGTCGCTACTGCAGATGTGGAGAATACGTGAAGCCGCCCGAGGGGGAAAAATGTTACCACTGCAACCACGACATGGACTGCCACCTCGTCAAATACAAACCTCAAACCAGTACTGGAGCACAAACCAGAAAATACGATTCATGGTCTGTTCAGAACCCTATAGATGGTGCCACGGTGGACGTTAGCCAAATGCAATCGGGGGCGACGTTTAGACAAGACGCCCCTGACATATGTTTTGAAGAAACAAGGGAAGTTCGTGAATCCTCTGTCCGGGCGCATGGTCATTTCACCAAGCCCCAAGATAAAGTTTCAATCATCTCAAGGCAAATATCATCAGTGAAAGGAAAGGACGGAGATGTTGGATCTACTGAAGGGAATGCTCCCTCCAAAGCAGCTCAAAGATCAATTGGTGCGAAGCCAGAAAGAGGAGAGTCGAGTCCAGCTCCTAAGCCCAGACAGTTCAGTTCCCTGACGAGGACACCAATAAAGGCATCTGATGTGTTTGTTGGTACAGCACCTTACAATGGACCGGTATGTACGGTGTCTTTGTTAAAGGGGCGCTGGGGTAGCCTAGTGGTTAAAGCGTTCGCTTGTCACGACGGAGACCCGGGTTCGATTCCCCACATGGGTACAATGTGTGATGTCCCCGTCGTTATATTGCTGAAATATTGCTAAAAGCGGCTTCAAACTACATTCACTTACACTTTTTTGTCAAAGACATGTTTTGTGACATTTAATACATACGTCATACACACTGACCACGACAGTATGTGAGTGAGTATAGATTTACACCGCTTTTAGCAATGTTCCAGCAATATCTCGGCAAGGGACACCAGAAACAAGAATAAGAAGTTAAATCTTATCAGTCATCACATAGTGAAGTGGATATTACAATGCATGTTATTCCGTGAGTGGGTGAGGTAGTAGGCTGTTCTTGGGAATATTTCAGCAACATCAAGGCGGGGAACACCAGAAATAGGCTGAACGCATTGTGCGCATGTGGGGAATCGAACCCGGTCTTTGGAGTGACGAGCGAACGCTTTACCCACTTGGCTACCAACCTCCCTATGATCTTTGAACACAGTGAGGTAAATATATGATGTTGTATTATCATGCATGTGATTGTAAATTTCTACAATTATACATCATTGTTTCAAAGTTACATATATAGTTCGAGATATCCGACACAGCCACTGCGTGTTTATGCGGGGCGGTTGTATATTCTATTGGTTAAAGCGTTTGGTCGTCACGCCGAAAACCCGGGTTCGATTCCCCAAATGGGTACAATGTGTGAAGCCCATTTCTGGTGTCCCCTACTGGAATATTGCTAAAAGCGGCGTAAAACTAAACTCACTTACTCATGTTTAGACTCAATAGATTTTACAGGTAATTTACGTCTTTTAGGTAACGCAATATCTCATTCAGTTATTGTTTCGGTAAAACTAGGCTGCCATTAGATTGTTTAGTCATGTTGCTAACCATAATTGTTTCGGAAGTACCTTTTTAGAACCTTATAAAGAAACTAATGAACGTGTCTTTAATGAAAAGCCAACACTATAAAAGATGGTCTGATCACCTAATCACGCCTGGTCAACTGACACGTTGTACTCCTTGTTTGTAGAAACCATCCTGCTGGCGTCTTAGAATGAGCCACCTTGCATACGGAACCGAACCACCAGAAGCTCTTTGTGGCTCATACAAAATTGCAGAGAAAGGGCGGACAATCTATGTGGGCAATGCTGAAAGTGCATCTATCAGAACAGCTCTGCGGAGGCACTTCAGAGGAATGGGCAAGCAAACCATTGGGGCTTATCTTGCCACCTTAGACAAAGAGTACAAAGATGAATTTATAACAGTGTTCTGGCTTGGTATTGATATCAAACATGCCTGCAAGTGCAGCTATCTTAAGTGCTTCGAAAGAATGGAAGGTAAAAAGCCACAGTATAACATGCAGGGCCATGCCTACGTCTCGCGACCAAAGCGAAGGGGTACTCGGTCTAAATCTGACCCATATAATCGGGACATTATTACTCCTGCATTTGTTAAAGATTTTCAGAATTAGGGATTCTTCTAGAGGATTTAAAAGTTGAATAGTGGACTCATATTTTCATTTACAGGAAAAGATTTCATTGATTGATTGTTATCACCACAGTCAGCAATATTCCAACTATATGGCGGCGGTCTGTAAATAATCGAGTCTGGACCATAGAATCCAATGATCAACAGCAAGAGCATGGATCTACGCAATCGGGATACGATGACATGTGTCAACCAAGTCAGCGAGCCTGACCACCCGATCATGCTAGTCGCCTCTTACGACAAGCATGGGTTACTGAAGATCAGTTCTAGCCCGGATCTTTGATGGGTTTTTTAAATATTGTCTATCATTTTTCATATTAATTGATTTGGTTGAATAAATATATCTTTAAAAAGCAGGATTGTGTTCGTTTTCCTGGGGTAATATATTTCACTAATATATACTAGTATAACGATCATATATCTTATCTTTCGCAAGTGTGTGTGTTCGGGGCAATGCTTATTAGCCGAAAAAAAACCCTCATGAATATAGTCTGTTAAAAGAAAAAAAACCTCAAGCAAACTGCCGTTTGTTTGTTCGTAACGCCAAAGCCCATGCCCGGAGTTCCTACATTGGTATAATGACTGACTGACTGAGTTTAGTTTTACGCCGCTTTTAGCAATTTTCCAGCAATATCACGGCGGGGGACACCAGAATGGTATAATGAGAGAAGAGTTAAAAGCTAGCTCATACATTCACATGACTTTTCCAGGCAATAATAGTGAGTCCGTCATGGAAGTTGAATAGTGTGGATCATATGTATTTATCTCACTCCGGCTTGACCGCCTCCGTAGTGTAGTGGTTAGAGCGTCCGCCCGGAGAGCGGAAGGCCGCGGGTTCGATCCCCGGCCGCGTCATACCAAAAGACGTTCAAATATGGTATTTGCTGGTCCCTGCCTGGCGCTCGGCATTAATGGCTACAACAAGGACTGGTCGGCTCGGACTCAGTATAATGTGTCTGAGTGGGATATCCATGCTTCACTGCGGCATGGTATCTCAGTGGGCTAGCACTATAACACCAGCTGAAGTCTGGGCTAGTACAATCAGCCGCACATTCACATACACACGCATGCTATTTTACCTCAACTCACCTCACTCCGGCTTGATGGTGGGCTGGCCAAAGTTCGTTATCGCCATCGTGATGCTGTTGAAACAGCCTTTCATTCAGTTACTTTCTTAATGACAACACGTATAGCGTTTGTTGTTTATTGTCGTATTCAGCTCAACAACAGTCCCTTTTCACCCTGTATTTTTTGCACCATTGTCGATCTCATTTCGTTTCTCATTTCCTAGACATGGCAGTGTTCACGGACATAAACAGAGATAAGTACGGGGTTGTTCGGGGTCGGTGTAAGGACTGCCCCGAGGAGTGTCCACAGTATTCCCAGCCTGTCCTCAGACACAACTGTACGTATTGCGGGTGTCCGGCAGGTAACCATGAGAGGGTGGAACGTCGACCGGAACCCATCATCAAGACAGAACCTGGGGAGGAGGAGGCACGATCTCCGGGACGGAGAGATGGCGGACCAACACCGGGCCCATCCAGAAGACCAGATGGCTGGACCACGGTCCCACCCCAGCCTGGTCCCTCCAGGCGAAATGAGTCGCCAAATGACTCTACCACACACCGGAATCAATCGCGAACAGTAATCCAGATCCAAGCCCAACCTGCTCCCTCCAGGCGAAATAGGTCGCCCATAGTGTCACGAACACTTCGTGACCCATGGGGTATAGTAACTCAGGTATTACGTCAGTCTATTAACTTACATCAGTAGCGTTTAGAAGGAAGGACGAGTTTTATGGATTGACAACTACTTCATACAATAGATGCGACGTTCCGTCGTAGATGCTAACACCGTTATGAAGCAAGTGGTGCCGCATCTATTCCAATAACGAAGTTGTCAACCCACGACACTTGTTTTTCTTCGTCATTTTAGAAAGTGTTCAAAGTATTACTAAGCCTGTCATTTGCTAGGTGTGTGTGTGCGTGTGTGTTTGTGTGCATCTTATTTTTATGTTTGGTAAGTTTGTTGTTTTACGCTGAACTCAGCAAATGTCCAGTTACTTAACAGTGGTGTGGAGATAATCGAATCTGGACCAAACAATCCAGTGACTGAGCATCGATCGATTGGGATACAATAACATGCATCACGCGTTAATTGTTGTTACAGCTCAAACCTATCCAATGGGGAGATTCGTAGTTTACTTTTCCCGGTTTCCATGGAAACGTTTCGGACTTAGTCTCAAAAGAAAGGGATGGGCTTCGTTTCCGGAGCATAACTAAAAAGCGTTCAATATTTTTCAACAGAAATTGGTAGATATATCAAATAGAACCTAAAGTAGTGCCTTTCGATATTTACAGATTTTTGTCAGTTCTATTTTTCCCTTCTTCCATGAAATGATTCGGACTTAAGTCTCAAAGGGAGTGGTGGGCTTCGTTTCCGGAGCACAACTCGAAAACAGTTCAATGTCTTTCAACATAACTTAGCAGATATATGAGACAGATCCCAAAGTGGTGCCATTTGCTTTTGCAGAATTTTGTCATGTTTATTTTTCATGATTACCATGGAAATGTGTTGGACTTGGTCTCAAAGGGAGGGGTGGGTTTCGTTTCCTGAGCACAACTTGAAAACGGTTCAATATATTTCAACAGAACTTAGCAGATGTATGGGACAGATCCCAAAGTGGTGCCTTTTGCTATTTGCGGAGCTTTGTCATTTTTCTTTTTCTTGATTTCCATGGAAACGATTTGGGCTTAGTCTAGAAAAAATCAAGTTGGACTTTAAGTAACTGTCAGATTATTTGTTCTTTCAAATATGTGGGGCCCGGGGGATTTGTCATCTTCTGATGATTCTTGTTTGAGAATGAAGGTGGCACATTTTCATACCTTGAAAGACACGTACGTACATAGTTGATTTGTTACACCACAAACCTGGTGGTTGGTCTCTTAGCCTCTGGGTATATATATTTGTGAAATTAAAGATTGATTTTAATTGATTTATCAAATTTCCATTAGCTGACCTTTTTAAACTTCACACATTCATTTCAGAAACGCTGCAAAACGTTATTTGAGAGTGAAAGTGTCGATTATTCTCAACTTGAAAGACACCTCAGCAAAACAGACCATGGCGTGTTCACAATCCTGTGGAAGGGTGAAATACTTTATGTTGGAGAGCCAAAGAAGACGCCCATATTATCGAACCTTCGCTGCATATTTACTGGTGGAAGCAGTCAAGACATCAGCAAATGTTTGAAAGGTTTACCCAGGAATTTGGTACAGGAGCACGTCAGAGTCGCGTGGATCAAACACGTGGATGACGACCCTCACCTAAAAACTTGTAGAGAAGGCAAGAAAAGGATGTCATATCGACAGTGTCTGTCAAATCTGCAGGCGAGGAAACCAAGGGATGTCCTGAGAGGTTTAATGCAATCAACCTCTGGAATATTAATGTGTTAACAGACACAAAAATGAGCCAGAAAACACATCAGCCGATAGAAATAAATGCTGTAGCTGACACAAGAATGTGAGGGCGCTGGTGCCCTTGGCATGTCTCTGAATCGGTATGCAATGTCACGATATAGGTTCCCCACGATACTGAGGCCACGATACAATACGTTTCGCGATACTTAGGTCACGATACGATATGTATCGCATTACTGAGGTCACGATGCGATATGTCTCACGATACTGAGGTCACGATGCAATACGTATCTCGGTTCTGGGGTCACGATGCGATACGTATCGTGATAATGAGGTCACGATACGATACGTATTGCGATACTGAGATCACGATTCAATACCTATCGCATTACTGAGGTCACGATACGATATGTATCGCATTACTGAGGTCACGATGCGATATGTATCACGGTACAGGGGTCACGATGCTATACGTATCTCGATACTGAAGTCACGATACGATATGTATCGCGTTACTGAAGTCCCGATACTATATGTATCGCGTTTATAACTTCGCGATACGATACGTATAGCGAAACTACATTTACGACATTTTGCGCATATTACCTTGATAGCAAACTCATGCCACAGATCATCAGCCACTAAATATTTTGGTAGATACTACTAGAGAAGGGAAGTATCAACCAAGTATCCTTCAACCACACTCGCCAAATCTAATCACAGTTGATGTTCTGTATAACGAAATTGTAAAAGAAAAATGCATTAAGTTAACTTTTAATATTGTCTTATTTGTATTTAACAAAAAAACGTTTTATATTGAATATCGTTGCAACATGAAAATAATAATCAATATATGTTAAAATATGAAACAATACCAAAACGAATGGTACTAAAATAAGGGCGGCGGGGTAGCCTAGTAGTTAAAGCGTTCGCTCGTCACGCTGAAGACCCGGGTTCGATTCCCCACATGGGTACATTGTGTGAAGCCCATTTCTGGTGTCCCCTGCCTTGATATTGCTGGAATATGAAAGTAAATTCACTCAGTACACTCACTACTAAAAAAAACAACAATAAGATCATGATGATATGAGTATTATATCTCTACAATAATTAACACCAGGGGATTATGGTACTGTTGGAATATGTTTGTATTTCACACCGCTGTACATTATTTTGTATTGGAGAATGTTCTTTAGAGTTGTTTCAATTGAAATGTCAAATTTAAAGTCACATCGGCAGTATCATGTTCTTTAGACATTTCATCATATTTTGTGTAGAAGTACACATTATTCTAATAAGAATAATTAAAATATACTTATAAAGAAGATGGGGACAACCGCCACCCTACTAAATAAAGTTTGCACTTGAGCTAGAACAGCCCGCCGTCAAGCAGCTGAACGTTTGTGATTGCGGCTAAGAATTCTCACAGATTTTGTTTATTTTGCATGCAGTTTACAAATTGCTTGTGTCTCAACGTCTTTATTGTGATGCTCCATGCATAATATTACTATCAGGAACACATTGTGTATCGTATCTGATATATCAATATATATACAGGCCCGTGAAGATCCGGGTTAGAATTGGTCTTCAGTATCCCCTGCTTGTCGTTAGAGGCGACTAACGGGATCGGGTGGTCAGACTCGCCGACTTGGTTGACACATGTCATCGTATCCCAAACTGCGCAGATCGATGCTCATGATGTTGATCACGGGATTGTCTGGTCCAGACTCGATAATTTACAGACCGC